CCCCCGGGGACTGACCACCACCCTGGTCCTCCGCGCACACTCACCTCCAGGCCCACGGATACTCCGAGATGCGAGTAGGCCGCTCTGGCCACTGGGCAGCACAGGCCGCGGGGGCGGGAAGTGGCGGAAGCTCCCGCAAGGCCTGGAGCTCTGGACACAATCGGGCCGCAGGAGTGGCCTCCTCATACTCAGGAGGGGCATTAGCGGTCACCTACTCGTAATAATGTGACCAAGACAAAGGGACACTCGCGAAACAAGGGCTGCGAGTGCAAACACCGCAGCGACAGCAACTCAGTACCTTCCTACTTCCGGTCTCTGAGCTAGCCAGTGTCTTACAAAAATACCGCCGGGCGGAAACAACCACCAGTCACTACGCTGAGCTTTTGGTTCCTATCCTTGAGTTCAGAATCAGAGCTGATTTCTTTCCCTTCAGCTCTTTTGCCATTCAGTAAACACAGAAAAAGAGCTCACTCTCATGCAGGCGTCTTTTCTTTAAGAGATATATGGAATGAAACATAGATTTCAATAACAAAACTGAAGAGAGAACCACCCTCATTTCCCCACCGCAATGAGGTGATTTTCTGTCTGCAGAAGCACTTGACTCCATGTCCTGAAATGCTGGCCTCTGGCCGCCAAGTTCTCCAGGGAAGCAGAGCACGTGGCTGTCAGGGGATTATTGCAAGTGACAGGTTCAAGGTCAGACCCTGGGAGTGTGGGAGCAGGGCACTGGCGCTCAGGGTACGAAACTGGGGTCACCTTCTCTGGATGAAGTCAAACAATAAATCAGAGATCATGGAATTTGCAGCCAGAGCTGGGGGTGGAGGAGCCACCGAGGGGAGAAGAGGTCATTATCCCCAGGGCATATATAGGGAGTTAGGGTTAGCGGTTATGTGGTGGTCAATCCCTCATCTCCATAGTCCATACAGTGTTATGCAGCTGACCACAGGCCATAGCTGTCTCCAGGAATCCTCCTCTTGTTCATGGGAGACATAACCAGGTTCATCACATTTAGTTTAAAGCCTTGTGTTGGGGGCTGCTAATTCAACCTAGCTGAAGCCATTCTGGAATTCTCTAAGGACATGTTTCGACATGTTGCCCTGGGAGGATAGGTTTCAGTTTACCCCACGCTGGGAAGAAAGGTTTGGGGAAAATGCCCTGCTAAGTTAACCAGATAACTTTCAGATTACTAGAAATGACACGATGCTATTCTTGTGCTCTTGTATATAAGCTGTGAGCGCTTTCAATAAAATTGAAACTTGATTGGAATTTTCAACTTGTCTCCTCACTTCTGTGCCTCCTGTCGTTCCCCACCCCCCATTCTCGTTCTTCCCCTCCTAGGGTCACCGTTGAAGATT